TCAGCATTAACCCAGGATGAACTGCTGTCTGACCACACCCAGTGTGAGAGATTTAAATGGACTAATAAAGGTGCCATCCACTATTCTCTCTAGACAGTATTAGTTACAGTGGGATAAAACAGAAAAGATACAGATTCACAAGAAAGACAGATTAATTGTTTGGCTTTGGATACATTAAGCTTTAAATAAAGTTCTGTTGTTGAATACTCCTTCACATTACTGAGGACAGTTTGCATATGGAAATACTAGTATTACATTGGGAGTTACTTCAAATGTGATTATTTTCCTGTACAGGCAGTAACAAGCATACAATGACTCACTGAATGAAGCTTTTGATCTAATTCACAAATTGTAGCTACTATCGTTTTTTTGAGCTCTATAGCCCTGAAAAAAACTATTATGTGTTTCTGTTACAGCAGTCGCATGCTTCCACATCTTTGTGCTGTACTGCAGCCAAAACTGTGCTCACGACCTGGGGTTTAATCCCAAGGTTCAAGGTTCATTTAGCCTTCTGTCCTTCCGAGGTCAGTAAAATGAGTACCCAGCTTGCTGGGGGCGAGGGCAATGTGTAGCCTGCATAATTAACCTGTAAACCACTCAGAGAGTGCTTGAAGCTCTATAGGGCGGTGTATAAGCAGCAAGCTTTACTTTTGCTTTGCTTAAGGCAAATGAAAAAGGCAAGTAAGAAGATGCCCACACGTTGTGATTTCTGAGCACTGAAAGTAGGGCACTCCTTTGACTAGAAGCAGAAAGAATCCCTAGGTATAATACAGTCTAGACTTGTGTTTTTCCCCTTCATCGTATACTGCTTGTACAACATAAATAATTAAAGCTACATGTCATCAGACTGGGTAGCTACTATAAGGAGAGTGCATGACAAGGGGGGCTGCTGCTTTCCATGGCTGGTGAGGCAGAAGACATAGCAGCAAATGATGGGCAGAACTAGGAATTACAGGCACAGCCAAGTGCAAAAGTAGCAATTCATCCATCCATCCATCCATACACACACACACACACACACGCACACACACACACACACACGCACACACACACACACACACGCACACACACACACACACACGCACACACACACACACACACACAGAGGATCTGGGGACAGTGGGATGGGATTCATACAGACAGGTGGACTGACATCCATACATTAACAGAACCATGCACACAAAGGTTGCAGGCATTCACCCAGATTATGTCTCACCCCATCCTATTCATTTCCTCCAGGTTTTAAGTGAAGTGCAGAAAGATATATTTAGGAAGGCAGCATGTATGTGTACGCGCACACACACACACACACACATCATGCAAACAGAGTGTGATGCAGCCGGGGATTCAGAAATTGAAGCAAAGGGGGAACATTGGCAGGGAGCTGATTTTCCACCACCTTATCAGAGATTGACTGTGGGTATCTTGAGACTGAGGTGGGGGCGGTCACCACTTTTGCCCTAATGGATCAGTCTCCACCAGTGCCAGAGCACCCTATGTATTGCATAGTCCTAGGGATAAGCAAGACATGAAAAGGAGGAGGAAACCAACCTTTTTAGCTGTGCCACCAAGATTGCCTGGTAGTTGCCAGCAAAAAGAAGCCAAAGAAATATGGTGGAAATCCACCCCAAAGATCTAGGAACAAGGAAGATATCCAAGCTAGACTCACAAGCAGGCAGCACAATATGGAGGGTGCTGAGAGCTTGCACACCCACAAGGAAAAACACTGATTCAATGAAAGAACACTCCCACAGGATACTAACCAATTCAGGCCTTTTTACAGATTCGAAATTCCCTTTCCCCGCTTACATTCTGATTGGCTGCTGATAGCAGCCCTTGTGACACCATTGGATGAAATATTTTTGGGGCAAATTGACAGACAACGGGTGAATGAAAGGTTCAATACGAGAGGGGAACACAACATTTTTAATGTACTTTTCTTATCATGAGCATTCATGTTCAAGAGACTCTCATTCAGGAATCAATGAAAGAAGATGAAAACAAAAAGCCTCTTTCACATTTTTCCCTTTTGTAATAACATGAAAGTCCAATCCCTAGTCTGAAACAAAACTGTTCATTTTTATTGAGACAATATCCCCTGGCTTTTCTTAGCAGTAACTGCATGCTCGTCTAGACATGGTGAAATGAACAATGCTGTCCCCTACTTCTCATTCCTGTTCTTAATGCTTCTTACGAGTCCTTTAAATACAGCCATATACTTCCTGCCCCTTCTCTGCCCTGTCTGTTGTTCTGTTCTGTTGCTTTGTGAACAGGGGCAACCTTTACAAACTGCCACTGATTTTTTTTTTAACAAAGAAAAAGGTTTTGGACTCACAAGGAAATCAGAAGCTATAAATTCCATTCCTAAAACAAAGGGGTTGAAAAAATAAACCAAGGAGCAAATGCTGCATGTACAAGCAATGTAGGACAATCAAAGCAGTCCTCGGTATAGTCACATCAGCTCCTGCCTTTAGATTTCCTCCGCAGCACTGAATAATTTGATTACTGCACCTTCAGCAATATCCTGTACAAAGTGTGTGACATATTGCTGAGGCCCTTTTGACTCTCCTGATACTGTCTATGGAAATAAGCCATGATGCAGGACCTTGCTCACCCACTGCTAGGACTATCAGATGGAAGAGAACAGCTGGGCATGCCTTGCTCAGCATTCGCCTCATGTCTGCGCATTATCCAAAAGAGAAAAATAGACTCAGTGTAAGGTGACTGACACGCCTGGCAGTACGTCAAGCAAATGGATGCATTCCTCACTCAAAACTCTGGGATTTCAATTCATTTGTGTTTGCTCCTACCAGTTTCAGATTTTTATGTGACTTTCAAAGGGAGAACTTTAAAGACTAAACTGTTCAGTATTTCTCATCAAATTGGAATCTCATCACCCCAGACAGAGACAGCTACATCTCATCGGCTACCTAGCCACTTTACTGACAAGGTCTAATAAAACTCAAGCAACACCACACCTAAGAATTAACCAACCTGAAGAATAATATTGTGCTTTGGTTCAGAGGAACTGGGTTTTATATCACACTTTCTTCTGTTTTGGGAAGAAAGGTGTGTGCCCTTTATAATCCCTTACACCAGTGGTTCTTAACCATGGGTTACTCAGGTGTTTTTGAACTGCAACTCCCAGAAACCCCAGCCAGCACAGCTGGTGGTGAAGGCTTCTGGGAGTTGCAGTCCAAAAACACCTGAGTAACCCAAGGTTAAGATCCACTGCCTTACACCCAAAATAGGGTACAGTATATGTTTACTTTCTGTTTTGCAGCTGATACTCTGCTACCCAGCCTTGGGAGAAAAATGCACTTTTGTAAAATTTTAAAACAAGGCACATAAGATCTGATTACTGCACCTTGATTCATGGCATCTGAACTTCTTTCTTGTTAGGTTGAAACATGTCACTACTCATCCAAGTACTGTAGCTTCTTCAGTCCATGTAGCGAAACATTTCAACCTAACCAGAAAGAAGTCCAGTTGCCATGACCCGTCTTCCAAATAACCTCACCTGGATGACTGAGAATCTTCACAGATATAAGGCATATGAGAAGCACACACTTTATGTTGAAGGCTGATGAACACTCCTGGAATCCTTCTAAAAGTGTAACATTTTGGAAGCACTGTGCCAAATTTCAGCAATATGTGGGCAACATCTGGAAGAGCGGCAATTTACTTTTAAAGTGGGGTGGGCTGCACTCCCTTTACATCCTGATTAGCAGTTCCAGGAGTCTTCCAGAAATGGTAATCATCGTGCAAACAAGGCAAGCAACTCAATCCTCCTTGTTTTAAAAGCAAACTGTGCTTCCCCACATGCTGCTTATGTAAGTAAAGGAATACAAAGAAAATACCAGTCTGAATAACTTTGGATGCCTTTCACAAACTACATGAAACAACAATATAATTTGAATATTAACTGAAACAGAACTTTGGCACTGCGTACAAAATTATTTGAAGAAAATCAAATGCCTTGTCTGCTTTTTATTCTCACCTTTTCTTTTAGATAAATATGGAACCTTGGCTTAATTGTTGAGTGGAGATAGCAGAGACCACAGGAAGGAACAAAACTGAGCAAAATTGAGCCTGTGGGATTAAGGTCCTTCCCCCTAGCTTTAAAGTTATGTCTGAATGAATTTGTTGTGATTTTTGGACAGTCTAGGATCTCAGTTTTCTATATATTTTTATTGTAAAGCATGCTTATCGTCAGAGTCAGCTCTCTAAAGTAGTAAAGTGACCTGAGTTCATCTTCTTCCCTCAGACTGCTGCCCTCTTGCTGCCATTCCTGAGCTCAACCTGCTACTCTCAGTTTAGATAAAAAACATTTTCAAACCCCTTTGCTGAGCTCACTTACCAGGGAGGACAACTGCCTCTGGGGCATGAGATCACCACAGAGGAGCAAGCTACATGTGCCAGGGCAGCTGAAGCTGGCCAAGAATGTCCCAGGAAGGAGGACCTGAAGACATTTTGCAGTAGTATCACCTCAGGAGAATGGCAAAGAGGAATCATAATCCTGGATTTTGAGCTGTCCACCTAGACTTCAAAAATAAGCTTTTCAGGACTTAATTTGGGTTTGTTTCCCACCTTCTCTCTAATCATTAGAGTCTAATGAGCTAACATTAAATTACTTTTTTCTTCTACACAGAATTTTCACACACACTCTGTAAGGTATGTTAAGCAGAGATAGTGAGAGGACCAAATGACATTTCTCCATTTCAATTCCCCCCCCCTGAATTATTTTTAATCATCGAGGGAGCACTTTGCCCCTTTAATTTTAACACCCTTTCTCTATCCCTAAATACAATTTACAGTGGTTGAAATGATGCTCAAACTGAACTCTGGACTAATATTCTGTGGAGATTCCTGGCATACCTATTATGAAAATGTGGAATTTAGCTTCTGCATCCAGAAAAAAATGAATGGCATAAAAGTGATAGGTAAGGAAAGGTGGCAAAGACAAAAGGCAGTGTTATACATGGGTCTGCACCACTTACTGGCTTGCTTGGCTTTTTCCATGTAGCTGGTAGTCAGGTCTTCATCCACAGGATGCTCCACAGGCCCTATCATGGGGATGAGGTGCCTCTCCGCACGAATGGTCTTAGTGGCGTGTGGTAAAAGCATGGCCTCTGGGGAAGCCTCTCTGTCTTCCAGTAACGGGGGCTGTAGCAGAACTTCACTCTCGGAGAAGGGGGTGTCTGTGCGGCTTCCCGGCTGACACACAATTTCCCTCTTGGCCACTCCACCTTCTCCAGCTTGTGTGATTGCCTCAGGTGTGCTGTCATACCCACTCAGCTCTGATAGCGACACTTCATCCTGTGTCTCACCCATTTTATTGTTCGACCCCTCAGGAGGAGAACGTGGGCTCTTCTTGCGAGCTCTCCGGTGCTTTTCCTGAGCAATGTTGTCAGCATCACTGTCAGTCTCGGCATAGTACGCCTCGCTGTCTGGAGGGGATGTGATGTTCTCCAAGTGCTTCTGTCTCCGGGGTGGCTGCTCAGGTTCTGGAGCAACACGGGGACCTGCCGGTTCAGGACTGCGCACTTGAGAAACCTGGCTGAGCAGAGGTGGTGGTGAAACTAACTTGGAATTGCTTTGCAGTTGCCTTGGAGAAGGGGAACGCAGGAGTCTCACGTCAGACAAGTCCCCACTAGCTGCTCTGTGGGAGAAAAGAGGAAATTTAGAGGAGCTGGGTAAATTAAAACTTAAGAAGACGCAAGCTGGATAAAATCAAAGCCCTATCAAGTCTAGCATTCAGTGCTTGCAATGGCCAACCCAACGCACATGAGGAGAAGACCAGAAGCAGGGTGTAGGATCAACAGCATCCTCTTCCTCACACTCCAAAGCAACTGACATACAGAGGCACTGAGGGCTCAACAGAAAAGATTGGGTGCATATTTTGCACAATACCTGCGGATGTAAGGCAGATTAGAGATGTCAGAGGCTGACTCTCTGATGGTCTGCATCAAAAGCCTGATGCCCACCACTGAGCGGTGCACCCTGTCCATAATGAAGACTCCACGGCAAGGATAGGTATTAGCTGATCAATATGAGCAGACTAAAAAAATCTTTCGCCAAAATAAAAAAATTAAAGAAGTGGAAAGGGTTTAAGGATTTTTTTTAAAAAACCCTCTACCCAAATAATGTATGGTCTTCTTTTCTCTATCACGAACAGTATTAACATGTAGCTACAAAGATCCTCTGTTACAAATGGGCAAAACCACTGATTATAACACACCCACGCCACTTAAGAAAGGTTGGCCCCCAACCCCAAAGGGGGCCTGTCTGTGTCACACTGCTAATCAAAGAGTTTGGGGAAAGATCTTCCAGCACCAGTGACAGCATGCTAGCCTGGTGACATTCTAAGTTGTGGTGACCCTCCAAGCCCAAATCAACCCATGAGTCAGTTCTAATTGCTCACCAGCAGCCCAGTAAACCTCCTTTTAAAAAAACTGATTACTGAAGGCTACAAAAACATAGGATGGGGTTGTCAAGTATCTCACAGGCTAAAATAGACAGATGTTCTGCTGTGGTCAGCATGGTGGGTCACACATGTGCAAGCCTGCTGCAGGTTATTTTGGACAAGATGTAGTACTTGTCTAGAAGGAAAGCAATGCTATTGTACCAACTCTGCATAATGTTTTCTGAAGCTGAGATTATAGTAAAATGCTTCCAGCTATGAGCTGCACGCTAGCACATGCCACCCAACCAGTCCGATTTTAATGGAGTGATTCCTGTGGTTCCCTGGCTTGTTTAAAGTCTGAAACAGTCCAATAATATCCCACCCATAGTCCACTAATGTCACTTTGGTGTACTGCACCTGCCAGACATTCTGGGATTATAGAGTTCCTGTGTCTTGTAGTCACTGTTCACTTCTTTCATCATTTGTGGGAGATTTAAATAGTAGTGGTTCCCACTGTAGGTTCTTGGTGTTATTCAGCTCTGTTCTCTGTTTTTGTTTTTTTTAACCACTCTTCTAGTAATAAGAGATACTGTTTCTTTTCAAATAGCTGCCAAATTTCATAGGAATCTTTAATAATGACTGTGTGCTGTGAAATCAATTCCAACTTGTATGTGTTCTGTGCCATCAGGCGACCCTAATATGACTTTCAAGGCAAGTAAGATAGTTAAGGAGTAGTCTTTGCTGTTTCCACTCCCGCAATGAGTTTCCATGGCTGAGAGTGAACTCCACTCCAGTTCTCCAGAGTCCTAGCCTGTCACTCTACCCACTACACCTCACTGGGAATCCAATTCCAACTTACAGTGACCCTTGTAAGGGTTTCCTAGCTAGAGATATTTCATCAGTCCCTTCTTCAAAGGCTGGCTGTTTTCCTGGGAGGCACAGTGAGGAATTAACCCCCCCCCCAGTCTCTTGATCTGCAGCCAGATACCTAAACCACTGAGCTATCCACCCCTAGTGTGGACTTTTATCAGAAGCTTTTAAGAAAACCCATTTAAATGGTATTCACGAAGATCCCTCATTGTGGGGACAGTTCTCATTCTACAGACTACGCTTGATTATATCATGCACAAGCTAGATTTGGTTAACTGCAAACTGTTCGTCAACAGTTACAAAGTGGGGATGCACAGCCTTTCTTCCCAACCACTCTGTCCCAACAGCTGTTACTGTTTACCTTTTCACAACAATGCTGAGCAGGCCATTACAGGAGTCGATGATCTGCATAGCCGCAGCGTGGGAGAGACCAGCACATGGCTTTCCATTGATGGACACGAGCTCATCATTTTCCCACAGCCCCCCACGGCACGCTTTACTTCTTTTGCGAATCTAAGAAGGGGAAAAACAGAAAGGAAAGAGTGAGATGGAAGAGGGAAAGTACCAACTTCTACAGAGCAGGCAACCAAGTATAGATGATCTCCAACAGTAGTTGTTTTCATCTGTCACAACAAAATCAGCAAAGACTACTGTGGCATGTTTATTGCAAGCATATATATAATGGCTTATCTTCCCTGGACTATATTTCACATTGTCAGATGCATGAAATAAAGGCAGGTGATCAGGAATTCAGCTCTGGACTCTCAAGTCTCCTCCAAATTATGTGTTTGTGTGTTAAGAACACTGTTACAGTGCCATCCTACAGACATCTCAGAAATAAGTCCCATTGAGTTCAAAGGGGTTTATTCTCAGTATATCTGCTGGTCATTTTTGATTGCTCTTTCCACTTCGTGAAAACCTCTCTAAAGTAGTGCAGTACGAGATACGGATTTTCTACTATTCTGAAAAGTATGATGCCTGGCTGGCGATATATGGTGTTTGACTGTATCGTCAAAGGTAAAACAGTCTCCCTTGATCTTACCCCATGCTGGTTCTTGACACATACTTCTAAAAGAATAGAAGATCAAGGTTGGGCAATGCCTTTACAGGACAACGAAAATGTCATTAGGAAGGCAAGTTTTTAGGTTCCCCAGAACTCTTCATCAGGCTAAGCATGATAGAATCAGGATCCATTTTCCATTTGCTGCTACAAAGCTCATAATTTGGTTTCATGATTTGGTTAAAGATAAGACATCAATTCCGCACACACTTAGAGATGCATCTTCAATGCTGCTGTATTCACACAACCCAACACAATGCAAACAGAACCCGTTATTCCTTCCAGGGATCTCCTGCCAAACAAAGGGAAGCTAATTTGCAAGCAGAGCCGGTTGTTAGACACTAATTATACATACTGTACTTGATTACTTAAGGGTAGCTGCTCTTTTGGCTCCTTTGGCTCCGAAAGGGTAATGGATAGAGTGGCCCCTGTACCATTTTGAAAGTGAAACTTTGACCCGCTACATTCAAAACACTGAGATGAAGTCTGCTTTTCTGACTAGGAGATGTAAAATGAATGATTCTTTGACGTCAATCATTAAAACGTAAGACAAATATTATGGCTCTAGTTTTCAAGCATGTGATCTTGCTTGATTTCCTTAACATTCAGGGTTAACAGTTTCTGGGCTGCTACTCAGTCAAGGAATTGGGAGACAGACCCCCCCACACACACACCCCCTCTTCTCCTTGTGCTTTAATTAGGCACAGAGAATTGCCAGTGCACGGCCCTGTTAAGGGCAGCAGAATCTCAGCCTACAGACTCTCCCTTTCTCTTCCACTGGGTGATATGGACTGTTCTGCACATAACAATATAAAGTCTGTAAAACGTGTTCAGCACAGATGAAAGTAGGCTGCTCCCTCTTGCAAATAACCTTCACCATTCTCCTATCTGTCTCCGACATTCTTTCCCTTGGCTTCTTTACAAAATACTGTGGTGCACGTTCTTTCTGAGGCAGAATGACTGGAACTGTCCCTTTCTAAATGTGCATAATCGTGTTATAAAATAAGCTGTTTTGGTCTCATTTGTAACAACTTTTTAAAACACATTTGCTTTTTCAGCACAGATTTGCTGTGAGTTTTCTTTGTTAGATATTACTCCTATTCTTTTCTGAAATATGCAAGGGGGCAATTAAGCCTGCTGGGATGCTGGCCAACAAGGCATCCTATTTGGCAAACTAGGGTTTGCAGGGGAGGGGCAATATCCTACGGTTGTGGTGGCTGGGAGAAGCAAGGTATGGAAGGCCTAATTGGCCCGTACCAGAGCCAAGAAGTGCTGGTCCATGTGCTTATTGATTGAGATGTACCTGTGTAGTGTTAGGGAGGCTGTTGTTCCCACATTTGCATTTTAGGATTGTGTCCTGAACGTGAGCCAAGGATCTCTAGCATGCCACTAGGGGATTTGTACCACTGTTTGGAGTGTTGCAAGGGGCTGACTGGTTCACTCTTTTTTTCTGGAAGCCACATGACATAATCACTAGAGCAAACCAATCCATCCCCAGAGCATTCCCTCCCCACAAGTTTTTGAGCATCTATCAGAGGCTTCTATTTTTGGGGTGGGTGGGTAAGTGGGCTGTAACTTGGCCCATTTCCAGTATGTGTGATCACTGAGAATGGACCAAAATCAAGTACAGTATTGTAATTGTCCTTCCGCTGTCAATTTTCAGTACTGTGAAGTGACAAGATACTTCAGGATATTGGAAGATTGAAACTTCCACTGCTCCTCTGCAGAGGAGCACAGGAAGTGAAAGTATTATTTTTTTTCTGTGCTGGACTATTGCTGTTGCACTGAATCACTTAGATTAAATTATTTTTTAAACAATTACTGTATTTGCCTTCATGTGAAGTGTTGATCCAAACTGTGGCTATGGACAGTTTATTGATTACTACAACACACAAGGCAAAGAATCTTTTAAAAATGTAAGAGGTTAAGTGCATCAGCAATGGTCAAGTACAGGCAAAAATAACAATTTCAGTTCTCCTGCCCCTCCACAGAGGAGGAGGGGAAGTGTTCAATTGACAGCAGAAGGAGCCGGAAGGTCACTTGAGGTTTATATGTCATTTGGACATTAGGATTGCATGAAATGGCATATTGGTCCTCCTCTGACTTCAAGTGACCCTATTTAGATCTCACTAGCCCACACCCAAAGGGCCAGTGTAGTCAAACCCTAATTTTAGAGCCTGGACTTGATGATTTTACCAGAAGCTGAATACAAATTGTGATGTCATATTACTTCTAATGTCAGGCATGCCCCTAACATTTATCTTCAGTTTTTTCAACTTCTACAGTTCCATGCTGTACATGGTCCCCTACATTTACATATCAGAGTAAAAAAGACCCAAAACTTTAAAAAATGGTTTTTAATATAAAATCAAATATCTGAGCATCTGCAGATTTGCATTTTAAACTGCTTTAAATTACAGTGCTGTTATGATTTCTGGAATTTGCTTCTACTGCTTCAATGCTAAACACAGTTACTTGGCAATAAGATTTTACCAAATTTTGTTACAAAAAAGGAAAAGGAACATTTTCATAAAATGAACTTTTTGCATCTCTCATAATTTGCAAATTAACTTGCTGTGCATTTGAATAGATGCAAATACGGACTTCATTTGCCAGTATGATTGTTCAGATGTGGAGCTCCACAAGAACGACATCTCTGGAACACTAAAATAATTATGTCTTCTAATATGCTGCAGCTTTTGATGTCCCCCCCCCCAGCAACTTGTTTGTAACTATCCCTACAACTGAAGTAGAACTGGGGAACGGAGGGCTGACATTTTAATTTCCCACAGTGCCTTGAAACACGTGGAATAATGCCATTTGGCAGCACTGTGGGAAAATTAAGATGATGCCAAGTCCCTAAATTAAGTTGTCCATCACGAAAGCCTGAGATCAATGCTAACAGTGGCCCCTGCTGGGGTACTCAGCCAAGGGCATCCACGTGAATTTTTCTGGGTGGGAGAGAAGCTGCATAGTGGTATGTCAACACCAGACAGACAGACATGCACCTATAACTCTATAACAGCCTATCTGTGAGTACTAAAATGAACAAATTTGGGATTCCAGGGGATCAAGTCCACATATTTTAAATAAATAAACAAGTCATCCCCCCCCATGGAAACCCATGGCCTCAGCATTTGCACATTAATGTGAGATATAACACCAGTCCTGACAAAATACTATGGAACTTGCTTCAGATTGCTAGGAGCATTTTTCTTGGATTCATGCAACTGGGAAAGCATCCATCACAAGTTTATGTTTAACATGGCTCTAGACAACAGTACTAATTAGATACTGAAGGGTCTTCTAGATGGGGAAAATGTTCTCTCTTAAGCTCTGAGTCCTGCACAGATGTAATTGGCATCCTTTCACCACCTATACGGCATTTGTGTTGTTTCACTTACTACACTGGTCTTCCCCCAGCCCACCGTTGCTTTTTTCTGCTCCTTTTGGTCCTCCTGAAACCGTGGTTTATTTTTAGTATTACTCTGTGGTGGCATGAGCTTAGCACTTCCCACCATTAGCAGGAATACATTTCTTTTCGCTCACCAACCCTCTCTCTTTTTCTTTATGGCCAAATGCAAAACTTTTGAACTGTCAAAAAGGAAAACTACTGTCCTGTGACTGTGGGATAAGGATTTGAACATCAACACCATTTGCAGAAACATATGGCTTGTTTGATTTTCTGCATGCATACAATCAACACTCGGACACAAAGAAAGGACAAGACATGGTCTCTCCACTCTCACGCCCACCTCCAGCAAATTGGAGTGATTGGTGTCCTTGGAACTCCCTGCCAAATGGAAGGTAAAAACCAGATCTTAATTGAAGGGTGCTCACAAAGGACAAGTTTTTCTTTCAAACAAATGAAGTGTTTATTGATTTGTACAAAATAAAAAGGGTGAATCACAGGTAATAAATCAAGTTGTTAATCACGTTTCTCAATTACTAGATCACACAGACTTTTCCCTCACTGACTATCTCTCTCAAATCTATCTCACTCTCTCAATCAACTTCTCTCATCTTTTCAAACTCTCCAAAACTCCCTTCACACATCACACACACCCCTTATATAATCCAGCTCCTCCCCCTTCTGCACCCCCCTCCGTCCTCTCATTGGCTGAGGTTCCCCTGCCCAGCTGTGACAGACAGGTGAGAGCAGAGCTGTATGCCACAGGGAGTCCATTGATTTTTCAGTTATTGTTTTCATTAAGTAAAAGTAGGCACAGGATCATTTTAATTTAATTTAAATTTTAATTAGGGTTACAGCATTCAGGAATGGGAAGCTAACTCCACTTGTGCTTTGGGTCTACATCAGATCGCTACCAGCCTTACCTGAACAAATTAATGTAAAAGAAAACAATAAGCATCCTAATGAGAAACTGGGTGTCATGTCCGCTTTGGCCATTATTGTTTTTCCTGCTAAACAGAGGAGTGGAGAAAAGGGGAGACA